TAATTTTATATACACTTAGAAAATGTAAAGTATACTACAATTGTCAATTTGTGGACAGACTGTGTGTTGCATCCGTGCCATCACTTATGTGTATGCATTCAATGCGGACGTCTTCTGCTGAAGAGATCAGACAGTTGTCCCATTTGTAGGCGAACTATCAATAATGCCTTTCGAGTCTATCACTCGTAAATATGTGTTCATAACTTTATTTAATACTGATTTCTGAGTTAACCAACCGTTAAACAATTAGTTAGCAAACACTAACCTTTTTATTGTAAATATAATACTGCATTTACTGTAGCATTTAAGTGCACTTAAAATACAGTATTTTAAACAAATAAACAATTCAATTATAGTAATATAATTTTAAATGTAGTTTTAAATGTTAATATAATTTTTATTCTAAATTATTAAATTTACAAATTTTCTGTTATTAATAAAATTGAAATACAATAATATTCTGTATAATATTCTTAACAAAATGAAAATATAAATTATTCATCAATAGTATTATGAAGTTATTTGAAAATGATATAATTTGTACTTGTAAATTTATAATTATATTCTATATAAATTTCTTTCAATACATTTAGATATATTAATATTGTATATTACATTTAAAAATAAATATTAGTATTATATAAATTAGATTTGTGTTACAAGAATTAGTATCAATAATAAATACGATATATTTTGAAAATTTTTAGTTACAGTAAATTAAAAATAAGCATTAATATTGAACTGAAATGGCATTATATGACTTCATTCAATCATTGAATGTTAATACTTTTAAAATTAATGTTTCAAAGAATACTAATTATACCTTAAAATTGCATTATTTGTTACTTTCGTTAAAATAAATATTAAATATAATATTGGAATTTTATATAAAATGTTTATTTATATACAATTTTATCACAATTTTATGTTTTGTTCAAAAATTCATGAAAAAATGATAATTTTATGAATTATTTGGATGGAGAAGAAGATGAAGAGGTGAACGAAGAGTCAAGTGAGTCGTTAGTAGAGATGAATATAGCGTTAGAATCAGTGATGTGTCCGCTCTCTCCAGTCGTCTGATTAGTCTTTAATGTAATTCCTGACACTTCCGGAAGTTTTCTAGTCTTTAAAGAATGATCAGAATCAGAATTATTTGCACTCATATCGAGTGCAGTCCTATAAAGTGTGTCTTCACTTTGGGATTGGGTTTGGTTTGGGTTAGAGTTATCCTCTTCACTCACATAACTCCAGGACTCAAAGTCTAACGATTCAAATGGAGGTTCGATGAGAATTGTGTTCTTCGTTGGCGGACTCACCGGTGTATACGAGCCGTTCGTTTTAGCCTTCTTCTGGAGGAACTGCTTGTGAGACATCATGCAATGGTTTAACTCACTTTCACTCAATTCTATCACTTCTTTCGTTTGGTTATTATTGGATTCAACCAATTCTTTGCAATTGTCTTCTTTGTCAGTATTTTTAGACATACTCTCACTGTTATTATCAATGAGTGTCAGTTCTGGACTCATACTCGACTCCACTCCAGACAACGATAAACTTGGGTTCAATAGACTGGAGTCTATACTCTCACTGATGTTGTTTTGGTTAGTTTTGATTGGTGTTGAAGTTATTGGTGGCACTTCCACACTGATATGTGACACATAATTCTGTACATCAAGATCTCGAGTTTTATCTTCATTTTCATTAAATGATGGATCTTTTGATTCAGTTTTATTTGCGTCAAAACTATCAAACGATTTGTTATTATAAGTAAGCGAGTGATTTATTTCATCTAAAGTACTTTCAGATGAATTCGTATCACTTATTAATTGTTTATTTAAAGACCAACTCATGATTGGCATCGACTCTACGCTTTCATTGTTCAGAATTAACACATTCTTTGTGTGGATATTATTGAGATTTTCTTCGGGAAGACTCTGTCCTTTCATATCAAGAGAGACGGCTCTCTCTAATAGAGCTGATTGTAATTTATCGTTATTAATGGTTAAGTCACTCAATGATGAAGATTTTGGTTTTCCTGTCGGACTCTGAACCCTTTGAGGAGAGCTTGACTCTAATGGCACTAAAACTACATCTTTAGATGTAATGTTTGCATCAGAATTAATGGATTCCCTTGAATTACTTGAGGAGCTTTCACTTATTTCTAACTCATTTGTCTCTTTTTTAGACAATGTTTGCTCAGTCTCTCCACAATTCTCTAATGGAATCTCTATTGAAATCTCTTCGTTATGGATCTGAGCCGTTGTTTCGATGGTTTCAACCGTTGGAGTGTTGTTTGAAACGAGCGAATCCATAGAAGATGTTTGTGGGGCCACATCACAGGGAGGTTGTGGTGCCCTTCCTTTTCGCTTAGCCGGAACCACTTGCTTCTTAACCGTTTGGCTTTCAGTTACAGTATCCTTCAAATCACTCTTTTCTTCGAGTTTAAGATCACTTTTAAGATCTAAATGTTTGTCTGCATCCGAATCTATTTGATCAGCTCTATTGGTATTTGCATCGATTTGAGGCATTTCTATTGAAACTTCTTTCACCTGAAGATCAGACTCAGAATTTTTGCTTATATTTTGGCCAATATTTGAGGGTTTTGTGTTAATTCTGTTAAGAATCTGTGTTTTAATCCTTTGAATGACATTATTTCCATCAGAATATGTGCTCTTTTCTGATAAAGAGGTGTCTTTTGTAATTTGCGTCAAATCATCAACTGATTGACTTCGATATAAGGGATGAAGTAATGATTTATTGGTATTTGACGTCAAATTTTTATTAGCGTTTAAAGTGTTAGTGAATCTGTCGACAATTGGATAATGAGAGCCCTTTTGCAGCTCTATCTTCACATTATAAGGCGAGGCATAGCTAAGGATAGCGACCGCGTCCTCAAACACCATCGACTCGAATGACACACAAACGCTAACTATTCGGTCGCCTATTATTCACATATAATTAGCAAACATTTCATTCATAATTAAGGTATGGATGGGTTTATTGAAAGCATACCTGCTTTAACCAGTTTAGACTCATTAGCCGGTCCTCTGTGTAGCACATCTTTCACGAAGATGCCATCCCTCATATTCCCGCATATATTAAACCCCAATCCCGTGAAATCGTGTCCAATGAGCTCAACCTCCAGTCGTTCCGCTTTCTGTCAATTTATGGTTTATGTAATTATGCGTTCAATGATCACTTATCACATCTAATGTATACCTCTTTTATGTAATTGTCGTCTAAAGAAACATTTTCTGGTTTCAATTTTTTATTTAAAATGTT